GTGTGTCTCTTCCTGTGGTGGAGACGTTCTGCAGAGCCCCTGCCCAGTGCCTGGTCCCCACTCCCCAGCCTCTTCCTCTCTCCCTGGTCTCGAACCCCCCTCCCCGTCTTCCCTCACCTATCAGGTGAGAGCATTTCCCAGGCCCTCCTAGAGCCAGGCAGCCCCTGGCCTCCCAGAGCAGCTACTTGGAGCTGGGTGGCACTGGGCAAGTGACTTAACCTCTCTGAACCTCAGTGCCTTCAGCAAAAAGATCAACTGAGATCACACGAGCCACAGACGCTCCAGGTGTGCTTCCTTGTCCTTCATGGCCAGGAAGTCCTTCTTTCAGTCCAGCCACATACCCTCCTGCTGCAAAGTGACATCCTGCCTCCACCCAAAGCCTAAGGTCTTGAGGAATGAAGTCTGAATGTCCGTTTCCTGCCCTTCTAGAGCGTCTCCTGGTTAGTCGAGAGGACACCGACCAGGTTTATCTGTAGAGACCGTGGGACAACTGAACTGAGGATCGGGGTGAGCAGAGGAGATGACCCCAACCTCAGACCCTCAGCCTCCACTGCAAACTCTAAGCCCCTGCCCCTTCCCTGAGTCCCAAAGGTAAAGTGGTCTCCTTCTCAAGGCAGACCCCGCCCCAGGGACTCAGGGTGGACAGCAACCCTGTGGCCCCACATGTCCACCCACAGTCCAGGCATAGCCGAGGCAGGGTCTCTTCGCCCTTTCCCTGCCCCTCTCCCTCTGCCTGCCTGCCGAGCCAGGCTTCCCCCAAGCTGGCTCAGGCTCATGACCTCTGGACTGTCCTTGTAGCTCCAGATCTCCCTGTGGCCTGCTGGCTGTCCACAGCGCTATTCCATCTCACCTGTCTCTAGCTTCTGCCTCCCACTGTTCTTTAGCCCAGTCCTCTGCTGTCATTTTCCTCCCTCTGCTTCCTTCTCCCCCAACCCCTGGAGCCCAGGATAAAAATCTGAACCTCATTGCTGGCCCTTCCTTCCTTATATGGTAATGCAGACTACACCCCTACATTGCCTTGGCAGGGTTAGGAAAGACTGCCCTGCCTTCCAGCCCACTTGGCCCTTTCCTAGAGGCTCTTGTGGGGCAGCCACCCTGCAAACTATATGTAACACCCCTATTCCTTTCCCTTCAAGCCACAGATACAGTCCTGTGGGCTTTGTCCCCTCTAACCCTTTCACTTCTACTCCTTCCCTGACAGCCTCTCCCTGGATAGAGACCTTATACTCCAGAATACAGACCAGCCTTTAATTCTAGCGCTTGGGAGGTGGAGACAGGGGAATCAGAAATTCAAGGTCATCCTTGACTACATAGTGAATTCAGGAGACAAGGCTGGGCTACGTGAGACTCTCTCTCTGTCTCTCTCTCTCTCTCTCTGTCTCTCTCTCTCTCTCGCTCTTTCTCTCTCTCTCTGTGTGTGTGTGTGTGTGTGTGTGTGTGTGTGATTTTGCCAGAGCCCACTGGACCAGCCACAGGGCTCTCTCATTCTGCCTCCACTCTTTTTTTTTTTTTTTTTTTTTTGAGACAGAGTTTCTCTGTAGCTTTGGAGGCTGTCCTGTAGACCAGGCTGGTGGCCTGGAACTCATTGATCCTCTTGCCTCT